TGAAGGGGGCTGTAGACGGGGCGGGGAAGAACAAGGGGAGGGGGTATTTGAAGAAGCTTACCTATATTTATAAGAAGCGTATCTTGCTCGCCTTGAATCTCGTCCAGATGCGCTGATTACAGTACCGTTTGTACACTCAAGACAGGATACTGGTACTACCCGTCAACGCCCAAATAGAAGACAGTGTTGAATAGTGTCAAGAATACAAGTGTTGGTGTCATTGATGTGAGTTGGGGTACACATAACAAACCCTAACCTCTGTACCCTCTAAGACAAACCTCACTACAGGTTACAACATTTGACACACCCCCATAGCCTAAGTGAGGGGTGTCTAGCAAAACGAGAAGTGTACGGTCACAAGACCAGTCACAAAGGTACAAAGCTCAGGGTGGATCACAACGTCACCACACATTCTGAGCACAAGCAACAGTGGCCACAAGGCCAGTCCATGAGTTCACAAGTGTGTATAGCAAGAGTACAAGCAAAGCAAACAGTAAACTCAAGCCTATACACGACTAGAACCTGTGTCAACAAGGCCTAACTGCACACAACACCTCTGGTGGTCACAAGGCGGAAGCGCCTTGGTGAAGATGTCTGCAGTGTTGGCCTCGGACTCCACAAACTCGAAGCGAGCCTGTCCACGTCTCTGCAACTCTCGCAAAAGGAAGCACCTAACGTGAATGTGCATCACTCTGCTCTCCAGTCGCGGCTCACGACAGAGGAGAATCGACGCCTTGTTGTCAGTGAACAAGGTCGGTGCAGAGCTCGGCCGCTCACCAAGGTCAGCGAGCAAAAACGTCAACCAACGCAGCTCCTGTGCCGCCATGGCACCAGCGTAGATCTCAGCCTCAGCTGTAGAGGTCGAGACTGAAGAGGAGTGCGTGGACCGCCAGGAAACAGCTCTAGAACCTAAGCTGAAACAGTACCCCCGAGTAGACCTGTGAGTCTCAGCGTCGTCAGCGTAAGAAGTGTCACAATGACCAGTAAGTACGACAGGCTGCTGCCCACCAAGAACTAGCCCCACCCCTGATGTCGTCGCTAGGTACTTCGCCACCCTCACAGCTGCTGTCCAGTGAACAGGACGGTGCCTTCCTGGCGCAACAAAGCGAGCAAGGACGCTGAGAGGGAAGGCGAGGTCCGGGCGAGTACAAGTCATCAGGTACATGAGGCAGCCCACTAGCTCTGCGTAGGGACCACTGGACTCAAATGGCTCGTCAGGAAAGGGTCCAGTGAGTCTGTGGTCAATAGCAAGAGGTGTGCGCTGTACTGTGGAGTGCTGAAGCTCGAACCGCTGAAGGACCTGCTGCACCATGTGTGACTGTGAGAGTGTAATGGTGCGAGCAGCTCTGTCCCTGGTGATCTGCAGGCCAAGGTAGTGACGCAGCTCACCAAGGCCAGTGCACGTGTGTCTCTTCTGCAGTTCGGACTTCACGTCTGCCAAGGCAACCCTGTCAGCAGTGGTGAAAACCAAGTCGTCGACGTAGACTAGAGCAAAGAACGGTGTGGAGCCACGACGAACGAACACCGACGAGTCGGCAGAGGACGGCTGAAAACCAAGGTCAGCGAGGGTAGAACGAAGGGTGTCGTGCCACTCACGAGGAGCCTGACGGAGACCGTAGACCGGTCGCCTCAGCCTCTACGGGTCCCAGGAGGGAAAGTGCCAGTGAAGGCAGAGGGACGACGCAGCCAAGCCTCCTCATGTAGGCTGCCCTGAAGAAACGCAGTAGAGAAGTCGAGAGAGTGTAACTCGTAGTCTCTCTGTGGCGCTACGTGCAGTAACACCCGAAGAGTGGTCATCTTCGGGGTGGGCGCGAAGGTCTGAAAGAAGTCAACTCCCTCGCGCTGACTGAAACCTCTAGCCACGTAGCGCGCCTTGAAGACTGGAGGAGATCCCGGTGGCCGCTTCACCCTGTAGATCCACATGCCATCGACTACGTTCGCCCCAGGGGGGGGAACCTCGTCGACGTAGGTGCCTGTGGATCTGTAGGAGGCCATCTCTGCGTCCATGGCAGCTCTCCACTGAGAGGCCCAAGGCCCTGACACTGCCTCAGCGTAAGTGCGAGGAGTCGGTATGTCAAGGGCGTCGGGGTCTCCCTCGGGGGCGATCAGCATGGCACAGAGATGAGGGGAAGCGGCTGCCAGGAACTCTAGCTCAAACTGCCTGTACTCTAGGGCGTCACAGCCAAGGGCAAACAAATAGTAGACAGGGGTTGTCTATTATCCGGATGTCTCTTATAAACTGGCTAGCCTCAATGTAAAACACCTATTTGTGTGTACGAGTTGAGCCAGTGCAGGGGTTAGGGGCAATTGTATAGCGAGGAGGTATCTTCTATACGGTTCTTTATCCATTTATAAGACTTATAAGACACCTTGAACCTTCCCAAATACAAGATAACCCAAGCATTTTGAGAAGTGTATGAGATAAGACATACATGTCTTATATCTGGGCGATGACAGTACTAGACGTTGAGTGGAAAGTTGGGGATGGGGGTGCTTGTTGTGGTTTAAGGGTACATTCCTGCGAGAACACTTGTGTCTCAAAGCCTTTGTGACGCGTAAAAACAACATATGACTGTTAGAATCACTAGGCTTAGGAGCCTAGGGTAGAAGGAGAATGACGAGAGAGAAGAGGGTTTCACTATGGAGAGGGTCACAACATATAGGGTTGGAAAGGGGGTACACCACCAAACAGGATATCACGATAACTACACTAACGCTAGAACTACATGCAGTTATAACAATATAATTCGGACATCCCCCCTTAACTGCATGCAGGAATAGCAAAGTGCAGAACACAGCCTGCAGGTGTGCTCAAAGCAACAGCACGCAAGAGCAATGACAACCAGTGCAGTAGTGGCAGAGACAGTTGCAGTAAGCCCTGAGGCAAGAAAGAAACAAAGAGAAGGTGCATGTGGCGCAGGTAGCCTGGAGAGTAGGTGCGTGCGGCTAGAAAGGGTGGCGGCAACGCAGGGCTCAACGGCAACGCCTGCAGCTCAACAGCAAAGAAAGACGAACGAAGAGAGAGTGGCATCAGGGGCTGCAGCTGTAGGTGCCACGGTAGCAGCGGGCGGCAGCTGCAGATGCATGGCTGCTGTTTCCGCCGATCTCTCTTACCCTCCATTAACCTCTCTCATCCCCCCTGAACCGCTCCCCCGCCCCCCCCCACAGCACCAAGTGCTGCAGGGAGAGAGGAAGAGGGAAGGGAGGGACGGCCTACTGGTGGTTCACACCCGCCACCCCACGTCTCCCCCTCCCCCCCTCCCCACGACGGAAGTCGCGGAAGGGAGGGCGGGTGGGGGGGGCGGCTGTAGCTGCTGCTGGCGCGAGCGCTGGCGCCTGGCGCTGGCGCTGGACGCAGGTGCTGGCGCCGGCGGTCCGCGCTGGCGCTGGCGCTGGCGCAGGCGCTCGCGGCTGGCCGTGGCGCTGGCGCTCGTCGCTGGCGTCCGCGCAGGCGCCTGGCGAGACGCTGGGCGGGCTGCGCGCGGTCGAAACGGGTAACGCATCGACGGGAGAGGTTGCGCGCGGGGCAGAACGAGCTGCATGCAAGGGAAAACGGGTTGCGCGCAGGGGAAAAATCGGGTGCAGATCGGGTAGAAAAGCAGGGTGACGACGGGACGGGACGGGCAGGCGCCTCGGGCGCCTTAACGAATGTTGCAGCAGCCATGTCTTAAAATAAATATGAACTTAGGTCCTTAAGAAGAACCTGCGCTGTACCATGTTATAATCACTAGGCTTAGGAGCCTAGGGTAGGAGAATGACGAGAGAGAAGAGGGTTTCACTATGGAGAGGGTCACAACATATAGGGTAGGAAAGGGGGTACACCACCAAACAGGATATCACGATAACTACACTAACGCTAGAACTACATGCAGTTATAACAACATAATTCTGACAATAACGTAGAATGTCTCAAACGCGAATCGCTCTTGTGCGATTGTTACTGTATTTTTCAGTGGTCGGCGTGAAATGCGCTGACGAATTGTAAACCGACTCCTCCTCATGGCTCCTGGCAGTGGCAATGGCAAGGGAAAGGAGGCAAATGAGGAGGAGGAGTTGGAAGAACCAGAGACTAACTGCAGTGATGATGATGAGTAAACGAACCCTCTATTGCTGATGCTTGCTAGCTAGTTAGTGTTATCTTATTTGAAGTTCAATATCAGCCTTTACAAAAAGGGAACACTGATGCATCAGACTTTTTTTTTAAGGTAACACTGAATTTTCAGGCTTTTTTTTGGGGGGACACTGACGATCAGGGATTCTACACAGAGGGACCCTGATGCATTGACGTGCCTAAAAGTGAATCATAGGCCCTGACCATGCGATAATTGCATTGCATTTCAGCTGCGCAGCATCATCGAATCTGTGGAAGTGGTTAATCAGGATTTTCATCAAAGCTTAAACCCCGCGTCCCAAATTGCGGATCGCGAGGGTCAAGTTTTTAAAACTTGACGAAGCTGAGTGTCCAAGCTTATGAAAGTTACGCACTTGCAATTTGGGACTTTCGAAGACAGATTCCCTCCAGGGGGGAAACCGAGGGAGGGTTGGCTGGGTCCCGCGAAAAAAACGAACCTAGACGAAATTGGAAACTCTCCCCAAAGCCCACACCAGAAAAACTCCCTCTGGTCAACTTTTAAAAGCATGAACAATGTGGGCCGCCGGCTACACCCCAAACTGTCAGTCAGTCTAACGGTAAGGTTGTTGCATGACCATACCGACTGAGAGCAATCGTATGATGCACGTAGTGGTACAGTAACACCAGAATTCCATCCAACATCATACGCAGCAGCCACTACAGTGGACATGGTACCAGTAAAGCTTTTGGTACAATGAAAGAATTGGCTGCAGATTCGAAGTCACGGTCCAGGATGAGCAAACGGGCCAGTGAGTGAATGAGTGAGTGAGTGAATGAGTGAGTGAGTGAGTGAGTGAGTGGGAGGGTGGGTGCAAGTAGGCTCCACAGGGTGAAAGACTTTCAGATCTTCCAGCGAAACCAATCAACCTCATCCCCTCTCTTCAACCCGCTCTTCCTCTTCCCTGCCTCCTGTGGTGTCTCCCTTTCCTCCTTCCACCCCCTTACACAGCATTCACAGCACTCTTCTTCTCTGTCGACAGAACTGCCCAAGGCTAGCCCCAATTCCTCCCTCCCTCTCTCCTTACCTTCCCTACCCCATCTCAAGCTGTTTCTTCTTACTTTCCGGCTGCTCCTCTCCCCACCCCATCCCTTCCTTTCCAGCACTTCCACCACCTCCTCTCGTTCACCACACCCCTCCATCCTTCCCTCCACCCAGCATGCGCTGCAGGCAGAACAGCTCGCCCTGCCGTCCTGCTGGCAACGCAACAGACCCGTGACTCCCGTCCCGTCCACCACTTCTCCTCGTTCACCACACGCCTCCATCCTCCCCCCCGCCCAGCATTCGCTGCAGACACAACAGCTCGCCCTGCCCCCCTGCTGCCTCCCTCCCTCCTCGCCTGTCAATGGTACGGATTAACACGTGCCCTCCAGCTGCCCCAACTCTTCCAACCCCATTTCTTACCTTCCCCACCCTTCCCCTCCCACATCCAAACCCCATTCTTACGTTCCAGTTTCCCACTTCCTCCTCCTCCATCCATTCCCCTCCCGTTCACCCCTTCCCCTCATTCACCACACGCCGCCATCCTTCCCCCCACCCAGCATGCGCTGCAGGCAGAACAGCTCACCCTGCCCCCCTGCTGCCTCCCTCCTCTCCTCATGACACACAGCCAGATGCCTCAGCAGCACCTCCAGCACCGCTCTCAACCGTTCTGGATGAACAACACCAGCAGCGGCAGCGCCACCAGCAGAAGCAGCACCAACAGCTGTATCACCGGCTGCTGCAGCAGCAGTGGCGGAGGGAGGGGAAGCGGTGGGGATAGGTGGGCAGTGGAGGTCGAGAGAGAGGGGGAGAGAGATGTCTAGGAGATCCATAGGGGTAACTGTCTCCCCGGCCGCTGCTACCGCTGCCGCTGCTGCTGCTGCTGTTTCTGCACCTTGTGCGACTGCTGCTGCTGTGGCTCCTGAGACTTGACCTGGTATTCTCCCCACTGCCCCTGCCAACGACCCACTCGCATTGCTGCTGCTACCGGCTCTGTCTGACATGGCAAGTGCATAATCCCTCGAGTCCAAAGCAACCTTGTCAACAGCACCCTCCCCAGCACTACCAGCAGCACCGGAAGCACCAGTAGCACCACCAGCAGCAGCACCAGCGGCAGCATCAGCACCAGACGCGGACATATCAAGAGGGCCGGACGGGGAGAGCAAGGAGGGAGGGGAGGGAAGGGAGTGGGTGGACGAAGCAGCAGCGGCAGAGAGGATTGCGGTGTTGACTTGGTCTGCTACTGCGTCTCGATGCGAGGGGTGCAACAGGTACGCGAGGGGGCTGGTGGTGGCGTCCGGATATGCCAAGAGCGCAAGAAAGTCCTGAGTGTAATAGGAGGTGGGAGAGCGAGGTGTAAGGGGCGAGTGAGCGAGGAAGGGAGAGGGCGAGAGATGAAGGGAGAGGAAGCATGAAAGAGAAAACAAAGGGGCGGGCTTGAGAGGGAGAAGCAGGAAGAGAGGGGAGTGGTGGCCGACCGCGTTGAGGTGTATGTGTGTGTGCAAGAGAGAGTGTGAATGAGCAGTGCGAGTGCAAGTGCAGGTAGAGTCATAGCACCTACTAAGTCTGCTCTCCCATACATGCTGCTTCACTCCTATGCTCCACTCTCACCTCCAGTAGCGCGTCTTGGTCCGGTGAGCGGCCTCGGAACCCTGAGAGCTCCGAACGCGCATACGCCAGCGCTGCTTCTAGCGACCCCGACTGGGGTACAGCGGAAGGAGACACGGGGCGGGGCAAGGAGGGGAGAAGAATGCAGGTTGCTCTTTAGAGATTTCAACAAGACTGAGGGAGACACGGGGCAAGGCAAGGAGGGGAGAAGAATGCAGGTTGCTCTTTAGAGATTTCAACAAGACTGAGGGAGACACGGGGCGAGGCAAGGAGGGGAGAAGAATGCAGGTTGCTCTTTAGAGATTTCAACAAGACTGAGGGAGACACGGGGCGAGGCAAGGAGGGGAGAAGAATGCAGGTTGCTCTTTAGAGATTTCAACAAGACTGAGGGAGACACGGGGCGAGGCAAGGAGGGGAGAAGAATGCAGGTTCTGAATGCGGATATGCCAGTGCTGTCTCTAGCTACCCCGATTGGGGTCAATACAAGCGGCGGGACAGCGGGGGAGTGGAAACCAGGAGGAGAGAAATGGGGAGGGAAATGAGGAGGAGGGGAATGGTGACGAGAGAAGTTTATGTGGAAGTGGAGGAGTGTGTGTCAACGGAGCAAATGGAAGGGCTGAGATAGGACACAGGAGTGAGTAGGGAAGGAAGAGAAGGGGAGTGAGGGAGTAGGGGAGCTATTGCAAGTTACACATACCCGAACGATCTCTGCAAACTTGGTGGTTCGGAGAAGAAACGTGACTCCTGCACTATCGTTCTGTGGTTTGGGTGATATGATATGGCATGTGGGGAAGAGGAGGTTGAGAAGCGGATGAAGTGGGGTACTGCTTTTGAGTCGACTCAAAAGCAGAAGTGGGGTACAGAGGGGGCAAGCTCAATAATCTTGGAGACACGGTTGACTTCTATATTTATTTCCGATACAAGTCAACCGTATCCTGAGACTTCTACTCAACCGTGTCCTAGAGATCTTCAACAGCTGAGTGCAGCCCGTGCACATGCCATGGCCATGCACTTACACATGCACTTGCAGATGCACATGCATACACACACGCACACACACACACAGGCACACACACACACACAGGCACACACACACACACAGGCACACACACACACACAAGCACACACACACACGCACAAGCACACACACATGTGCATGATTGTTGCGGCCCCTCAGAGATCTTCTCAGCTTTTAGGTGCCTCAGAATTCGCCTCAGATCGTCACACGCACATGCACACGCACATGCACACGCACATGCACACGCACATGCACACGCACATGCACACGCACATGCACACGCACATGCACACGCACATGCACACGCACATGCACACGCACATGCACACGCACATGCACACGCACATGCACACGCACATGCACACGCACATGCACACGCACATGCACACGCACATGCACACGCACATGCACATGCACACGCACATGCACACGCACATGCACACGCACATGTACATGCACATGCACACGCACATGCACACGCACATGCACATGCACATGTACACGCACATGCACACGCACACACATGCCCTTGACCATGCCCATGCCCATGCCCATGCCCTTGACCATGCCCATGCCCATGCCCATGCCCATGCCCATGCCCATGCCCATGCCCATGCCCATGCCTGGCCACGAGCAGCACCTGCAGCAGCTGGGGCAGCACTTCAAAGAGCTTGTTCAGTGCTGCATCCATGTGCCCCGCTCGTATCAGCTAGTCACAGGGCACAGGGCACAGGGTAGAGGGCAGAGGGCAGAGAAGACAGGGAGACAGGAGAGGGGGCAATAGTGAATAGACGAGATGAGAAGTCCACGAGAAGCAGACCAAGATAGGAGCGGAGAAGCAAGGCGACGACGATAGAGGAGGCGGTGAAGCCAAAGAAGGGGGAACAAAGTGCTTGTCTGCAACAGGCCACCTCCTTCCTTGGTCCACTTGTGTCCGCATGCCCACCTGCCCGCATGCCCACCTGCCCGCATGCCCACCTGCCCGCATGCCCACCTGCCCGCATGCCCACCTGCCCGCATGCCCACCTGCCCGCATGCCCACCTGCCCGCATGCCCACCTGTCTGACTTGAGCTCGGAAGGCGAGCGTGCCTGATAGCACAGTGTCCCATGAAGGCGAGCCCACACTAGGCGCCCTTGCCCGCCCTGCTGCTGCTGCTGCTGCTGCTTCTGCTCCTTGCGTTGAGAGCGTGTTGCCTGGAGCTTTTGCACCTGCAGCACCGCCATCTTTGTTTAGACACGACGGCAGCAAAAAAAAGGCAGAGGAGCAGCAGCAGAAGCAGCAGCAGCAGCCGGAGGGGGAAAACCAGCAGGTGAGAAGACAGCAGCAGGCAAAGAAACACATTTATACAGGCACATGGAGAGGATATTCGAGTAGACTAGAAAAATAAGCACATGAAGAAGGAAGCAGCACAGGGGCGGGCTAGTGATACCTGCAGCCCCAGCAGCAGCAGCTGCTGCAGCAGCGTCCATCCCTGTTGGTGCCACTTCCATGGGCTCAGGCCCAGAAGCCGTCTCCCTCCCCCTCACACTCCCCTCTGCGCCCCCTCCTCCCACTCCATCTCCCCCACCCGCAGCAGCAGTTGCTGACGGTCGCAGCAGGGAAGCAGGCTCTACGGCTCCGTTTGCAACCCCGCATGCACCAGCAGCAGCAGCAGCAGCAGCAGCATCAGGGGTTGTGGCAGGAGTCGGATTGCTGGCAGCATCGAGGGCAGCAAGCGTGTCAGCATAGCCATGAAAGAGCAGGTATGAGCGCACTATGCTGGGGGGTGGGGAAAGGAGGAGAGAGGGTTGGGTTCATTGTGGTGGGGAGGAGCGGAAAGGAGGGGAGCAGGGGTTCAGGCACGAAGAATGGTGAGGCAGAAAGAGAGTGTGGGTGAGCTGGAAGTAAGCGAGTGAGGGAGAGACGAGAAGAACAGGAGGTAGAGGAGGAGGTGCTATGCGAGTTGCGGCTGGGGAAGCGGAAGAGAAACAGTGGAAGAAGGAAGCGTGGTGGCTGTGACACATGGTGTGTACGTGATCCATGACTAAGTGATACTGGGCATGGCACATGGCACATGGCACATTTCACACGGCGCATGGCACATGGCACATTTCACACGGCGCATGGAAAGAAGAGAGAGGACCGTTTGAGCAAGAGGGTGGCGTGGCACGGCACGGCACGGCACGGCACCTGTGTGTGATGTGTGGCGACAAGGGGATGCGGTCTATGGACCGCTGCACCTTGGTCCTCTCGTCCATCACCATACCCTGCCGTAGGGGAGGAAGGGAGGGCGGGAGGGCGACAGGCAGGGAGGCAGGGAGGGAGGAAGACAGGCAGCGAGGGAGGGAGCGAGGGAAGGAGGGAGGGAGGGAGATACCCTAAAAGAGTGGTGGCAGTTAAGGCCAGCCAGAGCTCATATAGCAGCTCCCTGAAACAGGAACGACAGGGCCGCTTCTGAGTGACTAAAAAGCATAAGCTCACTGGAACATCGGCACAAACTAGGTTAAAAGAAGATAGTGGGAAGACTAAGAGCCGGAGGAAATGACCTGGGAGTGGGGATGGGAGCAAGGTACATGGGAGGTAGTTAGAGGGGAAGAGGAATGTTACCTGAACGTCAAAGAGGAAAGGTTTCTGACCAAAGTTGACCTCCACCCTGGCATAGACGAGAGGCACAGAGGAGGGGCACGGAGGAGAGGCACGGAGGAACAGGGGATGATGTGATGAGGAGGGGCGACTGCAAGTGTAAGTAAATACCGTTCCAGAGCAGGGTGATTTGCTGGGAGGAAGGGGGGAACAAAGCATGTAACAGGGAGCTTCGAAGGAAGGCATAAGCGAGCCGCACGCACACGCCCCCTAACGTGTACACCTCTCACTGAAACAAATGAGGGGCATAGGAGAAGAAACTAACAAAGAGGAAAACAAGCTAACGAACAAACAAGCGCAGCTCTCATCTCACGTGCAGGCGCACCTCTCATTGGGGCTGGGGCTGTGCAGTTTAGAGGCGCCTCAAAACTAACCTCTCATTGGGACGCACCTCTCATTGGGACGCACCTCTCATTGGGGCTGTGCAGGCCAATGGTGGGGAACAGCTCGCCCTTCACATCCCGAAACGCCGGCCCCAACGACTTGCCGTTCTTGCTGCCGGGAGAGAGAGGGAACGGGGGAGGAGGTGAGACACGGCGGGGCACACAGGGAAGGAGGGGTAAGAGAGACGAACAGGGTAGGGCAGAATGAAGAGAGACGAGGGGGGACGAGCACAACAGAGCAACACTGGCTCTGGCCGTGGGGCAGCGAGAGGCAGTGAGAGGCAGTGAGAGGCAGTGAGAGGCAGTGGCGTGAAGATCTCGTGTGTGCCATCCGTAGTTAATGCCTGCGCCATCTCGTGTTAATACCTGCAACGTCATTGCGCTTTGAGACGTCTCCAACAACAACACAAGAAACTAAAAGTAGACGACGTGTGTCAAGGCTGACGTGAAGAAGACCTCGTGTGTGCCGTAGTTGATGCCCGCTGCAGAGTAAAGAAGGATTCGAACCGCAGCAAGCCGTATTTGATGCCCGCGCCCCGCCCACCGCGTCTCAAAACTTGCCTCTGGCCTGGAGCAAAATTGAAGGGCTGTACTCGCTCTAGCACGGTACAAGCACAAACGTGAAGAAGATCTCGTGCGTGCCATAGTTGATGCCCGCGCCCACCACGTCGTTGGTGGTGAACTCAGGGAGAGTGACTGAGAGGCAGAGAGAGTGACTGAGAGGCAGAGAGGGTGACTGAGAGGCAGAGAGAGTGACTGAGAGGCAGAGAGGGTGACTGAGAGGCAGAGAGAGTGACTGAGAGGCAGAGAGGGTGACTGAGAGGCAGGCAGTGAGGTACTGAGAGGCAGTGAGAGAGAGGCAGCACAGACGTGAAGAAGATCTCGTGTGTGCCGTAGTTGATGCCCGCGCCCACCACGTCGTTGGTGGTGAACTCGGGCCCGTACGCCTCCCCGCGCCCGCTGTTGTGATACACCTTGCCGTTGTCCCCGTGGTACCCGTAGCTGCTCGCCTCCCACCTGGTGGGGCAGGGGGTGCCCCGTGCGTGCGGGCCGAGATGGGGTTGGAGAGGTGAGTTGATGGAGACCAAGTCAGGGAAAAATAGTGTGGGACGTGGGAGAGATGCATGAGATGAGGAAGGTACTGGGGCAACCTCAATCAACCTGCGTACCTCCCTCTTCCTAACACCCCCAAATCCCCCTCCTTTTCTTCCCCTACCCGACCTCCTCCTCACCTCTTTTCGCCCCTCCCCACCCCTCCTCAACCCCACCTCAACCCCCCTCACCCCCGCTCACCCTGGCTGCCGGCACGTCTTAAAGCTCGCGTCCGCGAAACCAACAAGGTGACTTTTGAGTCAACTCACAACTCACCTCGCTCCCCCTCTCCAGTTGCGCCCTACACACTCACCCTGGCTGCCGGCACGTCTTAAAGCTCGCGTCCGCGAACCCAACGGCCACACACCCGCGCGTGCCGCGGTCCTTCACGACAATCTCGAAGTAGTAGATCGCGCGCTGGCTAGGCGCCGCGCGATTCGCCTGGATGGCACCAACGTCGTTGTTGTGCGTGCCGTTGCCCGTGTACGTGACGCTTAGCTTGTCCTTGCTAAGAAGTAACCGCTGCCCGCACTTGCTCGGGTTCAGCTCGGTCGGTTCCGGTTCCTCTGATTCCCACGGTGATGAATCCCCTCCCTGTTGCTGTTGCTGCTGCTGCTGTTGTTGGCGGAATTTGGCGAACATGGCTCCTCGCCGCGAGTGGCACGCGAGTTTAGTTAATACCAGTGGCGATTTGACGAATTGCGCGTGGCCGAATTTGCGCTTGAAGAATTGCGTGTTTGTGTGGGAAACGGCGTAAGGATAGAGAGCGGGAGCGGGATCGAGCGGAAACAAGAAACACAGCGCAAGACGGTTGGGTCGAAACAGAGATTGTGAAAGAGAGAGGTCGCGAGGAGATACAGCCACCGAGAGAAAGGACAGTCGCCGTCGTAGCAAACGCTATTCGCGATCAGGCTCGTCGTTCTACCAACGTTAGTCGCTATCAGGGTCGGCACGATCACGCTCCTTGCGATCAAGGAGACTCAAGTCGAGACTTATCCAAAACGAATATAGTTCTCAAGCTCGAGGCTTCGAACCGCTCTGCCAGAGGTCTGTACAGTGAGATGAAGAGGATAACGCCTGGTGCGGTTCAGGTTGCTGCGACAACTGCCGGTTACGGACGGATTCCCCGAGGACGTGGATGATGGATCCTTGACATGACGACGCGTTGATCGTTGTGGGAAGGTTGTGACCGTAGCAAATAGAAGAGGGCGTTTGTGGGGCTCATCTGTGGGGGCTATGCTAGGAAAGGAGAGGGAATGTGCTCGCTGATAATGAACGGAGATAGGGCTAAAGCAAATAGCACAATTATCTACGTGTGTTACGCAGTTACTTCTGTACTCTATATTAGATCATTGAAAATTGTAAGGGGCAATTCTCGACGGGAATTCTGCGGTAGCGAGAGAACTCGTTATAGAATATCATTTTTCGGTGAGGCATACCAGCACTCTGACTTTCAAATATCTTGACAGACTGCTTTAGTTGCCATAACCCCTGCACTGAATTTAGGAAGAGAAACATGACATGGTGTCAGCATAACCACAAAAGGCTCCAACCAACCATGCATATAAATTGCTTAAATATAAAAACACATATTGTAAACAAAGCATGTCAAAAAAACCACCTGACAAGATAAATCACAAAATAATACACGAAAATCCTGGAGAAAGCAGCCAGAGACCTCCCAAAACTGAAGTCTTCAGATCCCACTCGCAGCACCATCCACTGGCCAAATTCCCCCCCGCTGCCGTGTTACTGGCATTCACTCCCAACCCACCATGCTGACACAGCTGGATGCTTGAAGCAAGAGAGAGATTCCAGAGAGTCTGCAAACCGGATCCAGGCCCCTGGGTGCAAGTGAGCTGTGCACAAGTGTGGAGTGGTGTTGTGTCAAGCCTAAGCAGCTCACAGAAAGCAGCTTGCGCTGTATGTACACTATGGTGTGGTGTTCTTCTTATACCAGGAGCAAGAGAGGCAGAGAGCGCAAGAGAGAACAGCCGCTTCCTGCTTTCTCTCCCTCCCCCTCAGCCTCTCCCTCCTTTCTCCACCAGTTCCCATGGGGGATGCACAATGTCCCACCTGCCTTCCTTTCACCCCTCGTCACCTGAAGTCAACGCACACCACCACACATCACCCTGATGCATCTCCGCCCCTTCCAGGCGCCACAGGGTCGAAAAACGGGTGCGCCTGAGAGAGAGAGATGCAGGGACAGGAGGAAGGGGGACGGGAGGGGGGAAGAAGAAGGGGGAAGAGAGAAAGGAGGGACAGCTGTGTATGAACAGAGAGAAGAGAGGGGAGAGGAGAGAAAGAGACAGGGAGAAGTCGCAACGAGCACCCACACAATCCAAACAAGCATCCAAAACACCAAAAGCCATGAAAAGCCATGCCTCCTTCCCCACCCCTCCCTCCCTTCCTCCCCCTTCTCCACCCCCAACCCCTCCCCCTTCTCCCCCTCGCACCCACCATGGCCTCCTGGGCAGTGAGGCGTGTGCGGTGGTCGTAGCGCAGAAGCTTGTCTATCAGATCCACCGCCTGTGGGGGCACGCGGGGAGCACGAGGAAGACACGTGTGGGGGACACGTGTGGGGAGGGGAACAAGTGTGGGGGACAAGTGTGGGGGGAAAGTGTGGGGGAAAGGTCTTTTGAGGGGCCACAAAAGGCGTGTGTGGTGGTTGTAGCGCAACAGCTTGTTGATCAGATCCACCGCCTGTGAGGGCACGTGGGGAGCACGAGGGGGTCGAGTGGGTGGAGGACTGAGGAGAGAGAACACAATTTTTTCCATGGGGTCAAGGGGCCAACATTTCCATGGATCGAGACGAAACGTCAGCCTGCCAACTCTCTCATAATGCTGCAGGGTTTTTTTGAGAATTCTCAAACAAACCCTGCAGCATCGGTCCATCCAGAGCACCAGACCCTCAGCCAGAGCGCATCAGCACGGAAGCCACTCAAGCCCTCTCACTTGAAACCCCTTGTGTGTCTGCCTGCGTGGGTTTGGAGTCACCACGTGGGCGCACTCAAGAGAGTGACCCCCGTGAAAGAATCAAACGCCCGGGGTGCACATACACATGCACGCATGCATGCACGCACGCACGGATGCACGCATGCACGGATGCACGCATGCACGGATGCACGCATGCACGGATGCACGCATGCACGCATGCACGCATGCACGGATGCACGCACCTGAGCGGACACGAGGTGGTGGTTGTCACACGTGATGAACCGCGACCATGGCTTGCGCGGTCGCCTGCACATGGGGTAACCAGGAGGAGGGGGGAGGGCGGGGGAAAGAAGGGGATGTGGGGATGGGGGGAGAAGGTGCGGGAAGTGGGAAATTAGGGGAAGGAAGGGCAAGGGAGAAGGGGATGGAAATGGAAGGACAGGATGAACGAGCGAATATTCCTGGAGAAAGAGATACAAGGGGGGTACGTATGAGTAGACAGTTGAGAATTCTCAAAAGTCACTCCCATGAGTAGACAGGGGAAAAAACGGCAGAATTCGATCCAAGAGGAAAAAAAGGTAGACAGGGAGGACAAGTGATAGCCAAAAGAGCACGATAGTCCATCTTCAGCAACACAGGGAGAGTGCCGGGAGAGGCAGGGCGGTTAGGGAAGGGAGGGGCAGGACGGGTAAAGGGCAGGGAGAGGCCGGGGAGGGGCAGTGCACCTGGAGAGCAGGAGTTGCAGGTGTGGGTCCAGCTTGATGTTGTAGCGCTTCACATAGTCAAACAGGCTGTCCGTGCCCAACACCTGCAGTCATACATGCACACACATGCATAACCACACATGCACACATGCACGCACGCGCATGCAAGTGCATGCCCACACACACACATGCACGCGCACACACGCACACACATACACACGCATACACGCACCCACGCACACACACGCACACACGCACACAAACGCACACACACACACACACATGCGTTTAACTCAACGTTCGACTTGACACGAGCTCAGCAGTGGCGAAGCACTTGAAGTCATGAAGCACTCGTGAAGTCATGAAGCACTCGTGAAGTCATGAAGCACTCGTGAAGTCATGAACCACTCGTGAAGTCATGAACCACTCATGAAGTCATGAACCACTCATGAAGTCATGAACCACTCGTGAAGTCATGAACCACTCATGAAGTCATGAACCACTCGTGAAGTCATGAACCACTCGTGAAGTCATGTCAACGGACACCCATGAGACAGTTGTATAAAAGCGCATTCCTGAGGCGCCGCAAAAATGAACCACTGATAAGGATATGTCAACGGACACATATGTTTGTTGCGCGTCCTTCCAGTTTCCACAGTACTAACTTTCACTTGTCATGTACGACTACTCACATATGCCGCTTGTACCCCTTCACAAGCACTTCCTACCACTGCCAATTTGTTCCATGTTTGAGCTGCCATGCTGTAACAAGCGCTCAAGAGGCGAGCTTTAAGGCGAGTTGTAACGAGAGCCCGGCGTACCTCTCTTCCCCTGCCTCACCTGAGCTATCTTCACGAGCTGGTCCGCATTGTCCCACCCACAGAAGAAGGGCTCTCGCCGAAACACCTGCGCACACGCACGCACATGCAATGGGGGAGAGGGGGAGGAGGAAGGACGGTTGGGTGGGGGTTGAGGGAGGAGGAATGCTTGAGAGTTGGGGGGGGAAGAAATCTGAGACTGGGGTGGCGGTTTGGAGGTAATTTAGAATGGACTTCGAAATCGATGGGGTGGGGAGGTCTGGGTGGAAACGTGGGAGGAGGAAGCTGATGAGGTGCAAGAGCTGGTGTGGTGTGCTCCGGTGCAGGGAAAGGGAATGCATGGATGGTTATCTGTGAACCACTATTTCGATGGCCATCATGCCATGCCATGCCATGCCATGTCACGCCATGCCATGTCACGCCATGCCATGTCACACCATGCCATGTCACGCCATGCCATGTCACACCATGCCATGTCACGCCATGCCATGTCACACCATGCCATGTCACGCCATGCCATGTCACGCCATGCCATGCCACGCCATGCCATGTCACGCCATGCCATGCCACGCCATGCCATGTCACGCCATGCCATGTCACGCCATGCCATGCCACGCCATGCCATGTCACGCCATGCCATGTCACGCCATGCCATGTCACACCATGCCATGTCACACCATGCCATGTCACACCATGCCATGTCACGCCATGCCATGTCACGCCATGCCATGCCACGCCATGCCATGTCACGCCATGCCATGTCACGCCATGCCATGTCACGCCATGCCATGTCACGCCATGCCATGCCACGCCATGCCATGCCATGCCATGCGTCACCATGCCACGGCTCACCATCCCGGCGACCATGCATCCGAAGCTCCACATGTCAAGCGAGTAGTCGTACTCCTCCAGATCCACCAGTAGCTCTGGGCCCTTGAAGTACCTGGGGGATGGGAGAGCGGGGGAGCACAGGAACGGCCGAGAAGGGCATGGAAGCACAGGAGGAGGAGCCAGTGGTGTTGAGAACGCCACAGCACATGTCGAGCGGCGAGTAGTCGTACTCCTCCAGTGGTCCACCAGTAGCTCTGGGCCCTTGAAGTACCTGCAGGGCCGAGCAGCAGGAGACGCAGAGGAAATGCAACGAAGCAGGGTTGAGAACGCTGCATGTCGAGCGAGTCGTCAT